AGTTAATTAATTCTGTTCAACTCATATATATTTTATTTATAGATTATTATTAATTTATTTGTATTTCATATTTATTTTTTTATTATAAATATGACCTATCTGTTTTATAATTTTAATTTCAGATCTGAATACTTTTAAATAATAAAAATAATCATAAGTTATAAAATTAAAACCTATTCATATTGCATTTTATCTTATTTACAACTATTAACAAAATAATCTTACATCTATTTTTAATTTTGAAGAGTTTAAAAAAAATGCTTAAAATTATTAAACTATTATTAAGAGATTTTTTTAATTAATTGATAGTTGAAATAAATTCACAAGCTGAGAGTTATATAGCTAATAAAAAAACAAAACAAGATTGAATTTATTTTGTTATTTTCTTGCAAATCTAATAATTAATTCATTAATAATTAATAATATTAAGATGAAGATTAGACTTTTATTAAATATATCTGAAATATCTATTAATAATTGAATTTTGACTAATACAGATCTGATAGTTAGATATGAAATAATTACAAGATATAAGACTTAATATATATAAGCAAATATAGAAATAGTGAAAATATTTTTAATTAAAAATATAATAAAATAAACTATTTTTTTTAATTTAAAATATTTATTTTTGATAAATTGAAAGTCTGGTTGTTCTGAATATTGATGATTTTCATAATATTCATGAATTTCATTATAGTAAGACAACTAACATGCATAATATTAGTTATTTTATTATGATATTATTAAAAATATTACTCAAAAAGTCATTAATTCCATTTAATAATTCCATAGTATTCATAATGAAAAGGGTATTGATTCAGATATTATTATTAAGAATGCTAACTCACTTTCTTTTTTATGGCTTAATTATTCAGGATGAAAAAATGCATTTAATAATTTGCCTGTGCAAAAAATTCATGATAAACAAGTTAAATATCTCCTACTTCATAGCTATGATGATTGAATTGATGATCAAAGCATGGAAAATACAAAACTTGTTGATTTAAGAGAAGGATCTCTTCATTCAACCAAAGATTATGTGAATGCACTTAAATATTTAATGAATATTCCTGAAGCAGAAACTTATTTGAAGACACAAGTTTTAATAGTGCCTATAGATTATCCTGGTCAACTTCATGTATGGCGTGCCATCACTCATCACCTTAAGTCTGGAGATTCTTCTTGAATACTGGAGCAGGTTTTACATATTATTCTGATAATTGGACCTTTACATGTATTCTTAAACAGTATTTTTTTAAATTATGATTTTTTTAATTTACTTTTTCATGCAATTTTTGGACGTAATAAGATACTGGCAAAAAAGCTAAAATCTTATAAAATTAATTTACTTTTAGAGCTAACATGTCAGGGATGGTCTCGAGTTCATTCTATAATAATGCAAAAATTTGAATGTTCTAAAGATCCTGAAGTCCAATATCTTGTTAATTTATTAGAAAATATTATTCCGTTGGTTTTAGATTATATTTTGCAGTGGAAATTGGAAAGCATACATAGAAGCAATATTTTGCATCTGGACAGTTTTCTATCAATATCAATGGAGACATTATAATAAATTACCATTGATGTTTTTAAGTGCTGATTTAGTGCTAATCATCCTATTATGCAAACTCTCACAGATTCTATTTATGTCTTTAACGACTATTATGTTGAGGGTTTTCATAGCTACAGATATATGGATCAAACACGGTAGATCAGGTTATTAGAAAAGCACAAATAATTGATCGGACGTGTGGCAACAATTCCTTTACGAATATATTTTCTGAAAAACATAATATTAGATATTTACCGAAATAGCTAGAGTATCTTGAAAAGTGTATTTCACTTTTTTTACTAAATTTTTTTATAAATGTTTACAAGAATATTGGTAAGTCGAAAATTATTCCTTCTAAAACACACTCGAAGCCAAAAGCGTATGAATTTCCAATGCTAAAAAATTCAAATCGGTATATACAATGGCTTGAAATATAACACATATTCCATATAGTGATTGATTTTGTGACTTAGAAGACTGTGTAGATTCTTGCGAGATAGGTTGTGTTCTAATTTGTGGACATGCTTATCATTTCAAATGTTTTTTATTTAATTAGGAAGCCAATGTCAATATTGCGTTAATTACCTCGTAAGTGGAATCGAGAAGAATTGTAAGGCCTTTCAAAAAACACCAGAAACATCGGATGGGAAGGCAAAAACCAAGAATTCAAATGAAGAAGAGGTTATTGAAGTTAGTGATGATGAAAACTTTTTTTGGACAAGAGTGTAGATTGTAGTAATGTAGATTTACTTGTTGAGGGGGCTAAATACTTTAGCGAATGTGTAATTTGGAATGGATTTTATTACTCCGATTAAAGTATTATATTTAGGTTTTTTTTTGAATAATTAAATTTATTGTATCATTTTACTGCATTAATTTTTGTAATACAAAGTATTATTTTTATTTATTCAGGATTCCGGGATTTCGTACCAAGACGCCATATTAATACATGTACATGTATATCAGAAAAGGCATATTTTATCGTTATGATTTGATTAAATGTTGTTTAATTAAATAAGAAAACTGTAAAAATCATAATTATCATAATTAGCCATATTCTCTCTTATATTCATAAAATTCCCTTTATAAATTCCTAAAACTGACAAATAATACTATAGATATTTGCATAGTATAGAAGATATTGCCTAGATGTGTTAAATTTATCATCTTTTACCTTCGAAAATCTGTTGAATATAATTCTTTCAAATCTTTCTTAATGTTGCCATTGCTAAACAGGGGCTGGGAATTATATTTATTGGCCATCCTAATTATTGAATTATTGCAAACCCTTTTTATAAAAGAGTTGGCAGTTGGGATGAATCAATATCAGTTGAGAAACATTGTAGTATTGGATAAACTCTTTTACGAGTTATTTGTATTTACCAAAGCAAACCATTTATTATTATTCACGCATTGTTAATGTTAATTTCCATACAAATTTATCGATACATGTATCAATAAAAAGAGAGAAATTTATCCGAATTAAGAATTTTATTAACTACACATACATGCTATACAGCACAATACACACATGAAATACACGTATAATCCAAAAACTTTCCTAGCATTATTAAACGTGTAAATTACGACTACAATCTACTACGTCTATGCATGAAATTTCTCTTTCTAATAGAGGGTCCATCTTGATCAAAACCATATGAATTATGCATTTGACGATACTCATCACGATCGCGGTCACGTCTATCGTCATTTTGGCCTCTACGTCCGTCACGATCTCGACGACCACGTCGATGTCTGCGTCCAGGGCGACGACGGCGGAAGCCATCGTGATTCGGTGCAAATGATTCCTTGTTCTCCTAGTGAATAAACGAATTTTTTTTCATTAAGGAATTTAATTAATATCTGGTTGTTGAATGAGGGGTGCGCCGATTTTGAAGTAAAAATTTACCTTGAAAAATGAATCGATTGGTTCAGGTACGCGATCAGTAAGTCTTTGCACATCATCAGTTACTCGACTAGCATCTCCTTCTTTAATGTATTCCAATACGTCGAGTCTAGATTAGAAAGGTAGGAACCACTAAAAATAAGCAGAACTTCATTGAATAACACAACTTTAATATATTATGATTCAAATACTTGCACAAGTTCAATTTCGGTGTGATGAAGTGGAAGAAACGGACGAGGATAATAATCTCCAATATCAAGATTATGAAGTGCAGTTGGGAAAAGAAGCTTCTCAAATGGTCCAATAACTTGAGTCAATTCAACAATAATTGCTTGTCGTTCTGTCGTATTTAACGTCGCGATTTTCTCTACACCAAACGATTTCAAGTGTTCTAACGGTGCATTGACATCGCGTATATTATATTTATTGGTCAGTGTAGTACCTTGTTGGGATTGGTTTAGCAGAAATTGGTCGGATAAATTTGTGTTGTTGACAGAGAAAAAGTTGAAGCTGTTTCGATTGTTGGTGACGAATCTGTTGTGTTGTGGATTTGCGTCGTCCAAGAATTTCAAAGCAGATTCAAGAATGCTGATCCCATTAAAAAATGTGTTAGCACCTTTCTCCAAAGTACGTTCGTTTCCTTTAAGGAAATCTGCAATGGCCTCATGCAAAAGAGCAAATCCTCGTTGTGCAAGAATAGCGGCCGTTCGTTGCGAGAGACCACGTTCACGACCATAATCATCGTCATCTTCATAACGATGCAAATTTTTCAAATAGTCAGCGAGGTCGTAACGATCTACACGTTCATATTCTACCTTAGTCTCTCTAATCACAGTATTAATGGCAGCAACGATATCGCGCGGAGTAACAGTATCTGGTCCAGTGAGCGTGAAAATCTTTTGATGATATCTTCGGTCAAGTGCATCAACTAATTTTCCCTCGTAAAATGCCATACTTCGGATAGAGCGGACAATGTCATCAAGGTTTACTGGTGTGAATTGGTCCCGTTCGTGAAGTGTCATATTGATTGTTCCTTCTTCTTTGATATTTTGTGACCATATGAAGAAACCTTGATCAATGAATGATAGTCTTTAAAGTACGGTGAGTAGATTTGTGAGTATGAACTTTGAGTCATAAGAGAGAATAAATGATGATCATTTTACCTAAATACCGCAACACATGGTACATGTTCTTGCCAAATTTTTTCCATCTCTCGGTAATCGCGGTGAGTTTTTGTGTTAATTTCGTCAACACCCCGAACTGAGAGAACGATAGCGCCTTTAACTTCATTTTTTCGAGCAGCCTAGGAATGCTATTATTAGCATCGATTTATTTATTGTAAATTAATTCACGGAAAAAAAGTGTGGTGGATATTTTACTCTTGCCAAAGCTTCCGCCTGTCTCACACGATCCCTATCACTTTCCGCGACAAACACCATAAATTCTGTACCGCGTAACGCATCCTCCAATGACTCTTGGTCTTCATAATCAATCTCGACGATCTCTGCGCCAAATCGTCTCAAATCATCAAGCGGCTCGGCGTCAGCGTCTCTTGTTAAAGCACGAAAATTCCAACCGGATCTTTTTCCTTCTCCTAAAAGACCACGCGCGAGCGAGTTTCCCATCCATCTATCTGTGGCTGTGACGGTAAAATCGCGTCCGTGTCTGTGGCGCTCAGTATCTGCACGTTTTTTATCTGGGAGTATTATTTGTGTTGTCATTATTTTATGTAATATTCAATGAGAATAATTAATGGGAATAAACGTGCACTTGTATTTATAGGAGTTTATCATCTCTGTCGAATGAAACTTTCTTAATATCGTTCGACAGGGAATGATGCGAGACTTGCACGTGTTTTCAAAAGCTTTTTCTATTGTTATTATCAATGAAATATGAATATTGAAATTTTTAAAGTAAATGATTGTTGTGTGTGAATTGTTTTGACTTTAATGGTCAAAGTGGCCATAAAGAAACACAACATTCACTGTATAGCGTTTTTTACGAAACTTCTAGAAGAAAAATTACAGGTAGTTAGTTATTCGTAACAATAAGCTTGTGAATATATGAATTCATCTGATAGTTGTCAAATAAAAAAGATATCGTAATTGATAAACTCGCGTCTGAAATCTCATTCTTAGCTAAATCAATCAGTCTATAAATCGGATAATGCAACGAAATAAAATAGAATTAAACTTGTCTAACTACGATAATAAACAGTAACGGGGGTAAACTGATTGTTCGATTTGGTACCTATTCGCTGGGATTCATTTCTGACATAAAAGTACAAATAAAGAATACGGCAACGAGAGATAATGCAGATCAAAAGTTTAGTGTGAGAATTAGGTGCTATCATTCGATTTTTCAAATGTTAATCATACAATTAATGGTCAATTTAATAAAACAAAGAGACCAAAAAAATTATTCACATCAGCCAACACAGCAGCCAAAAATAAGAAAAGTTTTCAATGCGCGCATTCACAGCTCTCTGAGTTGATACACCGGCCGCGACATTGATGTTTAGTCGATTCGTCCATTTTCCTGTGTTAGGATGATAGCGTTCGTTGACTTTTATTGCACGTATGGAATAATTATTACAATGAGATGAGGTAGTTTTTGTGGAGAATAAAAATTAGCACGATTTTGCTTTTTACCATACTACAAGTGTTAGTTTCAGTACTATTTTTGTTAAGGTGATTAACATTATTGCTTGTTACATATATCATAAAAGTGCTCGGTTCTTTGATCCCATACACCTCACAGGAAAATTCGAAAATACATGTACGAAAATAGATATTCACTTTTTTTAATAGTTGCCCATTAACGTATATGATTTACGCAGTTTTATTGGCTGTCACACAATAGATAAATTTTTATTGGCTAATGGAATACATGTGCGTGTATAACGAGATATAATCGTAATGACAATAAAACTGTAATCTCATTACGAAGAATTATAAAATATGAGTCACACGCAAGATTAAGATGAGACGCGTGTGTGATATTTATATTAAAAAAATATAAATAGAGATAAAACCAAATTATAATGTCTGAGAATAGAGAACAATGTATGATGTTATTTCAACAGAAGCTAATAATAAAAAGGAGAATATTCAAAATGATAATGCCAACGATCCATGGTCATCAACGAACTACCATATCCACGCATCATTCGTTCCATCCTTAGTAACCACCGATCTTATCGCCCTTCTCTCCCCGCAATCACATGAAAAAATCCTAGATCTAGGATGCGGCGATGGAAAACTTACCGTCCAAATCCAGAATCAATGTCAAATGTGTATTGGTATTGATAAAAGTGCGAATATGGTGGCGGCAGCGAAAAATAATGGGTGTCGTGATGCGAGAGTTGTCGATGCGGATCGGTTGGGTGAATGGGTGGAGAGCGAGGGATTTGTGGGGATGTTTGATAAGGTTTTTTCTAATGCTGGTTAGTGTCTGGTAATTTTTTTTTTTTGAGTTTTATTTTCGAGATTTTATTTTTTGGGGTAAATAATTTCTGTTGATTTTAGCGATACATTGGATGAAAAATACTGAAGCGGTAATTGAGGCAGTTCGGAAATGCTTAAAGCCAGGTGGAAAATTTGTAGCAGAGATGGGTTGTTCAGGAAATTGTCAAGGTATATTTATTATTCCCTTAATGATTATTAATAAATTTTTAATTGAAGAATTTCGACAAATTAATAGAAATTGAAAACGCATTAATCGCATCGCTAAATAAACGAGGATTCAACGGAAAAGAATTATCTCCATGGTTAGTAAATCACGAAGAATTGCAATGCTTCTAAGATATAAATTCATATGAGAAACACCTAGTAACAGATAAATCCATAAAAAAATGCAAAGGAAATTTTTAACGCCCGAAACCTACACACAAATGCTCACCAAAAATGCATTTAACATAACGTGCATGCAACAAATTCCACGTCCCACATTACTCCCAACATCGCTTTCCGGATGGATTGAAACTTTTGGGTTCGCGTTTCTCAAAGTACTAGAGCAACATCACCCGGAAGAAATTGAGGCTGTGAAACGCGAGTGTGAGGAAATGTGTCGTCCGACAGCGTATAATCAGGAGACGGGAAAGTGGGTGTTGATGTATGTGCGATTGAGGTTTGTTGCGGAGGCTACTTGTGGGTGAGTTGTGAATGGGAAGTAAAGTAAATTGTTGTTATTACTTAATGTATATGCATTAGTATATAAAATTCAAAATAAAAATAAAGCTGTCCAATGAAACTTTAATCATCTAATATTATTGATGCATCTAAAATTATTTAAGTGGTCCAAATGAAATTTAATTGTGCATAAATGCATTACATGCAGATGCGCGTTATGTTAATATGAGAAAATATAAATTATAGCGAAATAACAATAATGAATTTTATGTGCTGTCGTCTGTAATCATGTTAAAATTTTATTTTTGTTTCTTTTGAATTTCTTTGACTTTCTTTTATTCCAAGAAATATTTCTTTGCTCCTTCCCTTCTTTTTCCTTGATCGGAAATTTCCCTACTCCTTACACTCTAACTTACCGTACCGTTAGTCTACGCATTTCTAACTCTCATCATCGAAATTTAACCATCAAAATACGCCTACCTCAATCTATAATTTCTCCCAAAAAAGATGAACGCGATAAAAAGACTGTTAAAAAAATTATTCATCGACGTGGTCCCAGCACGCGAAACAGAGCCAACGTTTCATCGAATGATGAAATATTTCTTTATGTATAGTATCTATATTACAGTTTTAGGATATTTGGTATATTTGGCGAGAGGAATCTCATCCGAGAATCCACATATTGAGACCAGTACAACTCCAATGATACAAATTCCAGCTCCTTGTACGTGATTTTTGTTACCGCTACGTATAATTCCGAAATGGGAGATTTTTTATTAATTTCATATTATTTTCTGAAAAGCGTTTTATGTTACTTCGCCAATTCCATTTACGGCTAATTGTAACTATGTAGATTCGAGTAAGTTTTATTTGTAATAGTAATATTTGATAACAAAAAACCAGCCACTATTTTTATTCTAATTCCATACATAATAACGATAATAGACAAAAATGTTTACAAAAATGGCTCGACGGCGCCATGCAACCATCTCCTTTCTCGAAACCAAGTTACAATGGGCTGGGGAAATAGTGTTTCATCGACAAATGCCAGCAATAATTCACAAGTATATCTTTCCCAAGACGGGATCTTTGGAATAACGGTACAAATTTATGTGAATTCAAGCGCCACAAAGAATCAATTGACCGATGCGGAATCAGCGATGAATTCGGGAATGGTGTTGAGGCTTGTGGATGCTGGTTGGATTTTGTTTTTTGGCTTTTTAATAGTACATGTATTCGTTTCATTTTGAATTCCGACAATCTGACCTTATTTCGGGAATATCTTTCTTTTAGATTTTGGACAAATTGATCTTTCTTCGGGCAAGAAAGAGTCGGTAAACGCAAGAGAAGAAGCGTTTAATTTGGAAAATGCATACATTCTCTCACCATATCAAGTAGGTACATGTACATGTATATGCATTTTGTCTTTTAGTTTATTTTTATATAATTCTTGTTTTTGTTTCTAATAATAGAGACACGTAGTTTGGTTTAGAAGAATCCAATATAAAGATTTAGACGGCCACAAATTTCGAAATGGTGCTGGAATAAACAGCGTGACAAATGATTATTATGCGATAACATCTCAAATACGTACGTTTTTCAATCATTTCTTCCTTTTTTTGAACATTACTAAAATAAATGACTCAAAAATTGAATAGAGACGGTCAGTCCACAAAATCCCGCAGCTTTTAAACCGTATACCACCATTGAAATATATTATCAATCACGGATCGTGACTACTAACGAACAAATCAAGTAACAATATCCCTATTCATTTTGAGAGATGTGTATAATTGGTTTTTTTTTGTTAATTCTTATTCTCTGCTTTTTAATTTTTGAATAGAGATAAGACGGTGAGTGAATGAATTTTGTGTCTGAATATTTCGTATAGGGATAAAGGAATTGAGATTACGAAAGTCTTGAATCTTTGTTTCATGTTATAACAGAATCTTTGTTGCTTGTGATGCTTGCTTTCTTCTTGTTTTTATAAGGTTATGAATCTCCTAAGTTCTATTGGTGGTGCGTTTGGCCTCGGAATGGGGATATATGCGTTTTGTTTTGGTAAGAATAAATTCTCCTAATAAAAATTGTTAGGTTCAATATCATTGAATGAATTTCTTTCATCTGCGATAAAAAAGGCTCAGCACCAATAGGTCCATGGGGAATTTCACAAGAACTCCCAATGGTACGAAGATCTCTCCGAAGAAAACTACAATCGAAATTTGGCGACTTTGTCCCGCTTGTTGACGAATTTCCCAATAGAAACAAATTCGATAACGGACAACAGCGACACGAAGATATGAAGACGGCGGCAGCAGCAGTAGCGACGAACAACCTGAGTTTTGTCTTGGACCGGATCCAAACGCTTGAAAGACGGAGCGCGGCGTTAGAGTTGTTGCTTAGAGACTATGTTGTTGATATTGGTGACTTGGAGGAATTAATTAAATCTAGGGAAAAAGCAAATAATTCTTCTTTGAATAAAGTTGGCGTCTTAAATTATTAAAATTTGTAGAAGTAGCGTAGCTGTACATATACATGTAGTATTAGCGTTAGTTATCGTTATCAAACGAATGTGTAATTCCGTTGCGGAAATGATCGGTATGCAATCTGCAGGAGTATTATTAATAAATAACGTGAATATCGATATTTCTTTGTTCATCTTACGCACTTTTTTTATTTCTTCCGATTTAAAATTCTAATCAACGAAAAAAGCATAAAAAATGAATATTTTAAAGTTATTTATCGACTCATATTGGACCTCACCGACCGATCAACTACTATACATCTTCAACAAATCAAACAATGAACTAAAATCCGATGAAGAAATCGTAAAAATCGTCGAAGAATGGCTCAAACAAAAAAACTACTCTGCTTCCGATTGTTTCGCCAGAACTCTGGAACACTATCAACGACAACATCAACATCGTCATAAGAATAGGTACCGATACGCAGCATTGCTCGCGTTCTTGTATCGTTGGGGAATCGGCACAAGAATAGATCCCCAAAAAACATTTTATTGGTACACATTAGCGGCTGAAAAATTGCGAGATCCTCTAGCACAGAATGAACTCGGATGGTGTTACAGTGAAGGATTTGGAACGAAACAGGATCATAAAGCAGCATTTAAATGGTTCTTTAGATCTGCCGAGGCAGGAAATGCTATCGCAGCAATGAATTTAGGACAATGTTATTTTTATGGGGAGGGAACGTCGATTGATGATGCGAAAGCATTGCATTGGTACGAAATTTCTGCACGAAAAAATTATTTGAATGGGCAAATTCAACTTGCACAATTCTATCGTTGCGCTTCGAAACCATATCGAAGTACACGTTTAGCAAAACACTGGTACGAAAAAGCGGCGAACTCAGGTAGTCCAGAAGCGCAAGTAGAATTGGGGTTTTGCTATTATCACGCTATCGGGGTTAGCAAGCAGTTAAAAGAACATGCAATAGAATGGTACAAAAAAGCCGCAAAACAGGATTACCCACGTGCACAGGCACTACTCGCTAAATATTATTTACACACGGAACCCAGCTTATCGTTCAAGTATTATCTTAGAGCTGCGAATAACGGATACCCGCATGCGAAAAAACGGCTTGCCGATTTCTACGCTCAAGGGATCGGCACTAAAGTCAATCATGTGCGTGCATTCTATTGGTATCGACAGTGTGCGGTTAATAATAAAGAGGATCATGAACGGGCAGCTTTGAGACTGGTGAGATATTTTGATAAAGGATATGGAACACAGGTGGATTTGCATGAAGCAATCAAATGGTTCCGTGTTTTTCAGGAGAGTGGCGAGATGAGTTTTGATGATGTTAAATGGTTTGTTTTTGAGAGAATCTTTTTCGTTTCGTACGGAAATTGGGATTTTTTCATGTAAAAGCTTACATGAATTTTTAATAGGTGTAACCAATTTCGGCTCAAACTTCAATATGGAAAACATATACCGATAGTCGGATAACGAACGCACGCATTAGAGATATTAAAGAGAACTTATGAACATTTTACAGTCTAAGTAATAGATGTGCTGTTTTTGGATCGCAATCTTTTATTTTAATTGGATTTATTGAATAAAATTTGTTACTATATTTATTGCATATTTATTGCATTGTTACTGAAATTTCTCTTAATGTGTCTCTTAGTCTGAAATAGTGCCAAACCATTGAATGGTGATGGATTTATGGCGATATCCATATATTTTCAGCGACAATTCAGTAAATTTCGATAAGCAACATCATTCAACAAAATATAAGCATTGCCATAAATCGGTCGTCATTCAGTAATGTAACAGCTAAATTCCGTATATGCCCGAACATAAGTAAACCCCAAAATATAAGCAACCCCTTTACTTTGGACATCGGAATCTGTAAAACACTTGTAACAGGTACCAAGTTCACACTTATTGGGGGTAATAATTGATTCAATATACGTATGTACCCAAATATAAGTAACCCTAATTATCATACAAGTTGATCGAAGAATTTTTTCTTAATGTTAATTACAATGGCGGCGTGAGTAAGGATTCGCTGGATCAGAATAAGTACCTCATAAGTTTTTCTACTCATAAAGCTGAGTTAGGTTGACAAATACATATGTCTATACAATAAAATAAACGGATTTAAATCAAGTTGTGGACTAGTGATGTGAACTCAACAGTCATATGATTAACAGTAACATGATTTTTCCTATCAATTAATAAATAACGAATAGATAGTTTAAATTTAATTAATTCCTTCCCCCCCCCCCAATGTTTAGAACATTTTTTGTGCAACATTAAATAATATAATGACGCTGAGTCTGGTTAGATTCGATTCGACACCTGAAGTCGAAACTTACCTAGTCAAACTTTTTAACATCCTAACACTTTACGATGCACAGTTCAGCGCCAATTATTTTTAGTGCATGTACATGTATAAATGTGCATGTAATTAACGTTAACAATCTAATATAAGAAAAAGGAAAAAAACGCAGATCTAAAACTATCAAATGTGCCACTGAATAGCGATAGATAATTCTATAATAACGATGACAATAGCGCAATGTCAAATGCTAATGCATACACAGAAAAACAAAAGTTTTTGTCACACAATTATAGAAAGTTTAATCACTATACATGTATAAAAAACATCCATGTTCAAAACATCATCGATATGCACACTTTTTATAAAGTGACCTCAAAGATGGCATCGAATACTCATAATTGTAATGAATTTGACTATTTCGAATATCACAAACGAATTTTTATGGATGAATGGTCCAGCGAAGACAAAGATCTTGACAATCTAATAAAAGAATGCAACAAAATTAAAAAAGATCAAATATTCGAATGGATTCCTTTTGAGCGATTTACCAATGTTGAATCTCTTGCAAAAGGAGGTTTTGGGTCAATTTATAAAGCAACCTGGTTGGATGGACCATTAACCATTTATTTGGATCATGAGAAAAATGAATTCAAACGAAGAGGAGAAATGAAAATTGTGTTGAAATCATTGCACAATTGGAAGCAAATTACTCCGGAATTTATAAATGAGGTAAAAAAAAACGAACATTCTCCAAAGCGAGAGTTTTCTTTTTGTTTTCTAATACAATCAAGTTTTTCGATAATAGATTCTGTCTGCTCTAAAGTGCGTCGGATATTTTAAATATTACGGAATAACTAAAAACTCCATTACAAATGAATATTCAATAATAATGACTTATGCGGATGATGGTGATCTTCGGAAATATGTCAATTCCAGCTATGAAAAATTGACTTGGAAAAAAAAATTAGAATATTTATATTATATAATCAATAATCTGACAAAAATTCACGAAGAAAAGTTTGTGCATCGTGACTTTCATCCTGGAAGTATATTAATAATGATTCTCAAAGCTCAAATTGCCGATCTTGGATTTAGCATTTCAACAGATATAAAAAAATCAAACCAAGAAATTTGTGGAGTACTTCCTTATATGGGTCCAGAGGTGCTAAATGGAAAACCATACACTAACGCTGCAGATATTTATAGCTTTGGAACGATTGTGTATGAGATTGTAACAGGTGAACGACCATTTGGTGATCGAAGTTACGATATATATAAAGGAGTACGACCTACAAATAATATTCCCGGATGGTGCAAATTTATCGTCGAAAAATGTTGGGATCCTACGCCAGAATGCAGACCAACTGCTTGGGAACTTGATGGTTTTATCTTCTCTGTCTACTCTAGCTACCATTCCATCTACTCTAGCTACCATGTCAATTATTATGATTGGTGGAAACCAAATGTTTTCCATTTTCAGCGTTATAGCTTAGAATATCCTAAAACAGATGAAGAAATTAAAGAGATGCAGAGATCGAAAGAACTTGACGAGAAAGAATCACGAGAAAGCGCTCTCAAGCATAAAAACGGAAAAAACCAAATCCACCCTGATTATCACTATCAACTTTATAACGAAAACAAGGATATCGACAGTCTAATAAAAGAATGCATGATAATCAAAAGGCATTTCCAATGGATCCCTTTTGAAAGATTTACCAATATTGAATATCTTGCAAAAGGCATTTATAAAGCATCACTATATTGTTACAAGTGGAATCATGAAGAATATAAATTTAAACGATCTATTTTCGATAAACGCGAGGTCGTGTTGAAACCACGTGATTCAAGGCAAATTATAAAGGAGGTAAAAATCGAACATATTTTCAAGTGTAAGCGAGACTTTTTTTTCTAATACGATTAAGTTTAAAACATAGATTCGGACTGTTCTAAAATTTAGTGACTTGGAATTTGGAATAACATACTATGGAATAACAAAAAACCCAGCTACGAATGATTACTCAATAGTAATGGGCTATCCAAAAAAATACATAATGTATAATGTCACTTTTGAAACTCGCAAATATATTAGTACTGACTACGAAGAATTGACGTGGGAAGAAAAATTAGGATATTTATTGTATATTATCTATGCTCTAAAAAAAATCTACGTAAAGGAACTTGTGGATAATGACTTTCACCCTGGAAATGTATTATTACCTATTGATGCTTTCATTGCGGTTTTTGGTCTTACCTACGCAGACATAAAAGATCAAGAAATTTACGGAATACTACCTTATATGAGTCCAGAGGTGCTAAGTGGAAAGCCATACACGAAAGCTGCAGATATTTATATTTTTGGAACGGTTATGCACGAGATTGTAACTGGTGAGCCGCCATTCTGTGAACGAAATCATGATAGAGATCTTGTATTAGACATCTATAACGGAGTACGACCTACGATACCAAATACTTGTAATATTCCAGGATGGTGCAAATTTATTATTGAAAAATGTTGGGATCCTATTCCAGAGAACAGGCCAACCATTGAGGAACTTGAAGACTTTATTGGATCTATCTTTGATCCATGTAGCGACTCTAACGAGAGGAAATGGAATTCTTTGCATTTTCAATACTACAGTTCTTTAGAAAATCCGAAAACACACGAAGAAATTAATAAGTGCCTTGTATTGGAAAAGCAGAAGTTGAAAAAACTTGATAAGGAGAAGAAATGGAAACCTATAAATATGATGAAATGGAAAAATATGAACAAAGCAGAACAAACCCATCCAAATGCAATTTACACCAGTCGAATGTTTACCACGAAATTAATTTCAATTCCGACTCCTACTGGTACAGTAATTTCTATTACTAAATGTCAATCAAATTAACATCTCAGATTGAATAAAAATCATCATTATATCGAATATTTAGGGCCTACAAATAGTGTCCGTTTGTTTGTTCCATATGAAGGTAAAGCTACTATTAATATTAATGTAATTTATAGATTTCTTTAATTCAGCTTCTTTTCGTGTTGCAAAACAGATCTGAAAAATGAGGATGTTACAAGAAAAAATAGGATAACGGATTTTAACGCATAATCAAAAACGATTTCAACTCCTTTGTATCTACGCGAATCGAATATTTATATTCCAAACTTATCAAATTTTATTATCGTTGTATAAATCTTTTTTATGTATATTTATAGTTCCTATAAAAAAATAAATAAATAAATCATTGAATGTTATTATTTTCGACCATGCGAAGTTACTGTTCTATTTCAAATTTTCATTTATTTTTTATCTTCAAATTTAATCACCCAATCCTTATACCGTTCAGAATCCAGTTTTTGCTTTATAAAATCACCTTTGCAATACAGTGACTCACTAAAGAAACGGAACGCGGAAAAAAATGGGCAAGGTTCGAATACCTCGAAATGAAGAATTATCAAAGAAAAAAAGAAAGTGGATTTTATTCATTAAATTAATCACAATCATTTAATGCATATTTTATTTTCATCTAACTTTTACTTCACAAGTTAATGATTTTTTTAAATTTTCTTAGCGTTCCGTGTAATATGGCCGATTTGGACAAAAAAGTTCAGGCCTATAAAGATAAGTATAAAAGCACTCTTTTTCCACTACAATATCTATAGAACACTTTCGTTATTCTAAACAATAATTCTAACCATTTTTTAATTTCAAAATGCCTCGCATTTCACTAGAAAAATGTTCACGAATATACACTCTCCGACAAGAAGGATATTCGGTCCGGGAAATTGCATTATCGGAACAGGTGGGCTTAGCTTCAGTCCAACGCATCTATAAAAACAAAGAAGAAACCGGAAACTTTGAAGATAAACCAAAACCCGGTCTTCCACGCATTCTTTCGGATCGTTACGAACGGAATGCCATCCGATTAATATCATCTGGAAAATGCACTACCGCTGTCCAAGTTCAACATGAGCTCCAAGCTGAATTGGGAGTCAAAATTTCAGTGGAAAACATACGGCGTATGTTTAGAAGAAATGGTTTATTTGCAAGGATTAAGCGAAAAAAGCCATTACTTAAAAAAACACACAAATCCGATTAGAATGGGCAAAAAAACGCCGAAATTGGACTGTCGATGACTGGCGGGAAATAATTTGGTCTGACGAAGTAAG